CGACTTCTAAAAATGGCGGAAAGTCGACTAAAAGTCGACTTCTAAATAGTCGACTATAAAAAGACGGAAAGCAGTCAAGCGGCGCGTCATCAATATGGCGGCGAATCTCGAGGAAGCTGGAGGAGAAAATTAATGTTTACGCGAGTGCAAGGAATACATGCCGCGAGACAGGACAGATAAGACGTCGAAAAGCGCCGCGCTATCAACCACCGCCACGAAACGTCGTCGTCGTCGTCGTCATCATTGTCTTCTCGTTGACTTCCTCGATTAGATCAGAATACTGGAATTTGACTGTATGTATGTTGCAATATGTTTGAGACGGTTGTCTACATTGTCTACAACAAGAATTGTTACAGAATGCCGTTACCAACCAACATGGAAGCGAAATTGCTGCGCCAGATAGTTCTTGCAGGTATGGCGGATCTAAAAGAGGATCAGGATAAGGCCAAGTGGAAATATGCTTTAGAGGTTAGGTATGGTGTGTTATTAATTATCATCGATAATTAAGACCTATTGAATGCGACCTCTCTATTCTGAACCATCTTTCAGAACACCATCAGAAATGGAGGAACCTGGTTCATGCATTCTTCGTGCGTTCTACGGAAAATCAGTCCGGAATAGGTGGTTTATAAAGAAGTGTACGAAACGAATAAGATGTATATGCGAGGTGTCACGGCGATAGAACCCGAATGATTGCCGAAATTCGTTTCCACGCTATGCCATCTTAGTGAATCATTGGTTGATCCACCGCCAAGGTATTTTTATCACAATTGTTGCTTTATAATGTTTTCCCTATTTATTTATAAAGATATTAATCTTTATTATGATCGAATATTATTCTCATTTATAGATATAATCAAGGAACCGGGAAGATCATTTGCCGCGTGTCTGGTACATTTGGAAAGGCCGGATGGGGACTACCATCGATGGATATAGAGCATCTGTGGACGGTGTAAAGTGGTTCGCGTATTTCTTCTTGGAGGGTCAAGTGTACCCTAAGCTGAAGCGATTTGTTCCGTCGTTGCTGACGACACCTGGGAGCATCACCAAGTCATGGGCCAGGTAAATTGTTATTCTATCTCCTTTCGATTTCACGTTGATTCATCGAATAGATTACATCAATTCAATACGATTTTTTCAGGTTGATACCAACGCAATCAAGCAAACGTTGCAGTCGCAGGGAGTCGTGTCCAAATACAAACTGCTAGAAATCTGGGGTTTGGATGAAAAATGTGAGATTTTAATTTATAAAATAATATTTAGATATTATCATCGAGTAGACTTCTATACAATACTAGACCGCTGACAGGCATCTCGGCCGTGATGCTTGCCGCCATGTTGATTTTAGTCAAGATATGCTATACTACAGATTCTATACAAGTAATTTTATACAAGATTTCTATACAATAGTCTGGCATATACAGAATGTCCAAAAGAAAGGGTTTAATACTACAGGAGTAGTGGTTCGATTTCGGCATTCAAGTAGCTACACGTTGAAAGCATGACTTACAAACTTATTGATAACATGTACCAATATTTAACACAAAAACATTCGCCTGCTTCGTTATGTACTGTAATAACAAATGCAGATAAACGCACATCATGAGCAACTGAACACCCGATAGTGACTTATTGTTAATTCAATATGGCCGCACCCTTCACTAACACTTGCACCTCGCACTCGCATCAGCTTTTCGGCAGTGCGTCCATAGATGTTAATGGTCTAGTATAAAAGTCTGTGGATATTATATATTTATAATTTTAGTTCTGTTGTCAGCTTACAAGAAGTGGCTGCCGGAATCCGCGCACGCAGAAGTGGCACAGATATGACGGCACACAGTGGCCGCTTTTGTAATTAAGAATAAAACATTAGGATTGTAATTATACAGTTTTTTAGATAATTAAATTATTTTATATATGAAAAAAAATCGAAATGCATCAGTTTTAGCCTTCCAGCAAAGGGTCGATTGTGTATCTTGAGATAATGAGGTAAAAATTACAAAAGTGAGAAAATTCATTAGCGTATCTACGATTTTATTTATCAGAATCTAATAAAATCTGTTAACTTTTGTCATTTTTACCTCATTTCAAGATACACAACCGACCTCCAGACGTACGCGGTGGCGGTTTATTTTATCGACTTTAAAAGTTGGCGGGAAGTCGACTTTCCGTCATGACGGGAAGTCGACTTGAAGTCGACTTCTACCGAAACTGACTTGGCAGAGAAGTCGACTTTTTTAAGGACGAAAGTCGACTTGAAGTCGGCGAATGTCTCAAAAAACGCCGACTAAAAGTCGACTTCAAGTCGACTTTTGTCCTTAAAAAAGTCGACTTTCTGCCAAGTCAGTATCGGTAGAAGTCGACTTCAAGTCGACTTAAAGTCGACTTTTTGCTCTTAGGGTCAGTTCGATCATCTGCTGGGACCACTCCGCAGGGTCCCGCGGCTCCACCTGAGTCACGTCCTCCCCCTGGTCACGCAACAAGTTCGGCGGCACTAACACGCGTCCCAAATTCACGAACGCCGGTGACGCTCCCAACGACGAATGCGACGCGGTATTATACGCGAAACGGAACTGTGGGAGGTATTTATCCCACTCTCGGTGATCCCTCTCAATAAACGACACGATCATAGTTTTCAGGGTCCGATTGACCCTCTCCACGGGGTTGGCCTGCGGATGGTACGGCGGCACCGTGGCATGCGTGATGCCATGCTCCTCAGCGAAACCCTTCATCACGCGATTCACGACCTCAGTTCTGTTGTCTGTGAGGAAGATCTTCGGCGTATCCCACCGCGACACGATAAGATCTTCCAACGCTTCTTTAATTTTCGGGCCGGTAGCCGCTCGCAATGGCTTCAACTCGATCCATCTTGTGAATAAATCTTGGATCACCAGAAGGTACTGGTAGCCGGCCTTGCTGCGAGGCAAGGGCCCCACTATGTCCGCGGCGATCGAAGTCTACGGCCCTTTTATAACGCGGCGGCCCATCCACCCCGCGGGACTAGCTTGCTCGACTTTCGTCCTTTGACATGTGTCGCACGTCCAAATGTACCGAGTGACCTCGCGAAACATATTTGGCCAATAGTACGACACGGCGAGACGCTGATATGTCTTTTCGACTCCCAAATGACCGGCCTGCGGCGCGTCGTGGGATTCGCGAAGGGCCTCGGCGCGTAATTCCCTCGGCAATACCAGCTTCCACCGGACCAAATCCTCGACTATGTCCAAAATAACCGGTCGCGGTCGCAAAAAGTATAGCTGCCGATCAACTATTTTCCAGTGAGCAAACCGCTTCGGGTCAGTCGCTACCTCCCTATACCGCCTACGATACCACTCGTCACTCGTACCCTCACACTCCTCGATCTCGATCGCGGCGTTTACTCTTCCGCCTTCCGTGCCTTCGTACATCCGCGACAAGGCATCGGGCACGTGGTGTAGAGCTCCCTTGCGGTACTCCACGGTGTAATCATACTCTAATAATTCTAACGCCCATCGGGCCAAACGACTCGTGGGATTTTTCAAGTTGTGGAGTCACCGCAAGCTACTATGATCCGTAATTACGGTGAACTTGTAACCTTCTAAATACGGCCTAAACTTCTGGATGGCCCACACCACGACCAGGCACTCTTGTTCAGTCACCGAGTACCGGTTTTCCGGGTCCGACAATACGCGACTGGCATAGGCTATTACGCGTTCTTCCCCTTCTAAGTTCTGAGTCAAGACCGCCCCCAACCCAACCGAGCTCGCGTCGGTTTGTAACACGAAAGGATCTTTAAAATCCGGGCATGCCAGGACAGGGGCCGCCATTAAGCTATTCCTAATGCTATTGAATGCATGAACTTGTTCATCCCCCCACTCCCAGCGCCTGCCTTTTCTCAAAAGGCGGGTCAAGAGCTCACTTAGCGTCGCGAAATCCGGTATAAATTTCCGATACCACGATGACATCCCGAGAAACCTACGTAATTGTCTCAGTGTTCGGGGCGCCGGGTACTCCAGCACGGGGCGCGTCTTTTCTGGGTCCACTGATACGCCTCCCGCCTCCACCACGAAGCCTAAATACTTAACCTGAGATCTACAGAACTCGCATTTATCCATATTAATCGTTAATCCCGCAGCTTTAATCTTATCTAGCACTCGTTTCAGCCATTCGAGGTGTTCCTCGAAAGTTTCCGTCGGGATAATTATGTCGTCTAAGTACGCGACAACGAAAGGCTCCATTTCCGGGCCTATTAAACTATCTAATAGTTGTTGGAACGTCGCGGGGGCACCCGTTAATCCGTATGGCATTCAAACGAAATGATACAAGCCTTTTCCCGGGACGCTAAACGCGGTAATCTCTTGGCTATCTTTATTTAATGGAATCTGAAAATAAGCCTGGCTCAGATCGATTGTAGAGATATATTTTGCCGAACGTAATTTACTGAGTATCCCGTCCATTGGTGGTATCGGGTACGCGTCCTTTTTAGATATCTTATTGACTCCGCGGAAATCCAGGCAAAACCGGTACTTGCCATTCGATTTCTTTACCATCACGATTGGGTTCGACTATTGACTTGCGGACGGTTCAATTATTCCGGCTGCTAACATTTTATTTACCTCCGCGCGAATTGCTTCTTGCACCTTTGGCGAGACTAAATAGCAACGTTGCTTTAGCGGCGGGTGGTCTCCTACTTCTATTTTATGTTCAGTTAGATTGGTCAGACCGGGGTCTCCCGATGGTGCTACTATTTTCCGTAAAAAATTTTTCAGATGTTTTTTCTGATCTTTGGTTAGCTCCGCGAGCCCACAAACGCGGGGGTCTGTTTCTTTCAACTGAAACTGGTAGCGGGCGCGAGGCCTATCCGCGAAATGCCATTCCCCTTTTCCAAAGTCTAGCGTACCGAACTTCGTCAGGAAGTCCATCCCCACGATACACGGCACGGCCAAATCCGGCAATATCCCTACCGAGATTTTCCGACTCTGGTCCTTTAGATGGAGAGCGAGGCTTCTTTATGAATCGGGGCTATTTGTCCGTTTGCCATTCGGATTGTTGCGCCCCCCTCCCACGTGGTTGGAACGCCTAGACTTTTTACTATACGCATCCCCTCGCGACCGAGGAGCGTCATGTTCGACCCCGAGTCCACCAACGCTAACAGGGGCCGGCCGCCTATCCGGAGTGTAAGATACTTCAGCGGGGGAAATTCGTCGGGATCGAGCGTCACGTACGAGAGTTTTTCTTCAGGGGTATTCGCGGTTCGGGCCTCGTTCTCGATAGTTGGGGGCGTAGGGACCCGTCCTACTGACCCCCCTCCGCGTTTCCGGAACACCTAGGACATGTCCGCGTCGTAAACCCCGGGTTCCCGCACCGGTAGCAATGCTGCCGTCGAGCCGCCCTGCAGGTCCTAGCCCGGTGGCCCGTCTGATCGCAGTTCCAACATTTTAAGTTGGAATCATCGGGAACCGATCTCGGCGCGGCGGCGTCGGTGGCCACTGCGGCGTTCCAAGCCTCTCTCCCGTTCGGGTCTCTCTGAGCCACGGCCTCCCCCGCGGCAACGGTATTCGGGGATCGCGGTTTCCCCTTCAGCGCATGGTACGCTAAGTCCGGAAAAAGAGACTGTTCCGGTAACAAGGGGGGTCTATACATCTTATCCGCGAGGAGAGTCCGTTTCGTCCGCGTAGCCAAATCTTCCAACGTGTGAAAATCGTTAAATTCCCACCGACGAATGGCGAGCTGTAGCCGCGGTAGTAAGTTACGGTGGGCTAGTGTGAGCTGCTCCGGGAGAGACCACGGAGGGCTCATTCGCGTGAACAGGGCCCGTAAGCAGGTTAAGTATTCGACCGCCGGCTCGTGTTCTCCTTGCGTTCTTCGTTGTATCTCTTCCCGAAGGGTCGTCAAATAGTCCGGATCGCCGAATCGACTTCGCCACGCGTGCTCGAAATCCCGCCAATCCTGCCAATTTTTGCTTTCTAATCTCACCCAATATAACGCGGTACCCGAGAGGAATAGTGGCAAGCACTTAAATAGTTCGGCGTCATCTACATGGATAATGGA